CATGTAGAAGCTCAGAAGATTTTAAAAGAGTATTTACCTCTTTGTAGGGACATGTGGGGAGCAAAGATCCAGACAGGAAAGCTTCACAGGAGGTAACAATTTGATCTGACCCTTTAAAGGATGAACAAGAGAGGTTGGCAGAGTTAAAGAAAGATTTGGTAGAAACTATTTACACAACATCGGATTATACCAAGACCCATCTTAGCTTTGAAACAATCTAAAGAAATGATCCTGGAGCCCCCACTAAGTTTGGAGGGTAAAGGCCAGAGAAAGCCCTAGTACAGATTCGGTGAGCCTTTGTTGTCATTTTGCATTTTCTGCCAACATTTCTTACTCTTTGTTCTCATTGGTAACATTTGTATGTAATGGAAAAAGTTAAATTTAACAGTATAAATAGGTTATGATCTCGCCGGCTTATTTTTGTCATATCAACTCTGGCTTAGATGCATAGGTACATTACCCGTTTCTGTAAGCAGGTAATCTAGTAGGAGGCACACTGGGCTTAATGTGCCTCTTGCTCCTTAACTAGTTATAAGGCACTGGCTCTCTTAATTGCTCAGATACATTTTCCTCATTTGTAATAAAATAAACTGTTTTGTATTTGAATTTTTTTTTGCTTTTTTTTTTAAGCTCATATAAGACCGTGTATGTGGAGCAATACTATACAAATTTTTCTTTTTCTTTTTCCTTTTAATTATGTTTTAACCACATCCTGGGTTCAGAGTAGAAGTAGTAAACTAGATCCTGTAAACAATACAGAGATGAATGTGACAAATACTTAAATGGCTGCTTTATGTCAAACTTTTTTTTAAGTTTATTTATTTATTTTGAGAGAGGGAGAAAAAATCCCAAACAGGCTCTGTGCTATCAGCACAGAGCTCCATGTGGGGCTTGATCCCGTGAACCATGAGATAGTGACCTGAGCCAAAATTAAGAGTCGGATGCTTAAATGACTGAGCGCCCCTGCACCAAACATTTTTAAGGTAGCCAGGTGTCTTTTCTCATGGAAATTGTCAAATACAACTTTAAGAAACTTGTGATGTGGTGGGAAAAGACTGTAAGTAACTAGGTTAATAAATCTGTATATTAAATGTTTTCTCTGCTACCTTATATTTGTTTACTTACTTGATCTTTAGAACAATTCTACAGATATAGCCACAGTTCATCAAATCCCCGATGCCTATAAGGCATCATTTTAATGTAAATTACAAAATGCACCCCAATATCTGAGATGAGAAAACGTGAAAAAAAAAGTGGTAAATTCAGCAAAGTCTGGTATTATTACCTCCATTTTACAGATGAGGAAACAGGCACAGGGAAGGAAGGTAAGTGATTTGTTTGAGAATACAAAATTGGTCAGTAGTGGAGTCTGGATTTGAACCAGGAAGTTTGGCTCTGAAACCTGTGTACTGCTTCGCATGAAGTAGGGATACATGAACTATAGGCCAAGTAGTGTGGGACCACAGATGAATCAATTGGTGGTGGTGCAGTGAGAGATTCAGAGGGGACTGTTAAGCTGGATTTAGACTCATAGGTGAGAGTTTCCTATGGAGAGGAGGGTGTGAAAGTAATGAGGACTTGAAGCTTCCTGTAAGGTGTAAATGGGCCCTCTCTCACTCTCCTTTCCTCTCAGCTCACCCAGGGCCTCTTTCCTTTACCTCCAAAATACCAGGTTATCCACAGTTAACCTTACCTGCCAAAAATCGCCCATTGTGTCCCCGTACCCAGGTCCTCTGAGATACCCCATTTAAAAAAAAAAATTTTTTTTTTTTAAATTTTATTTTTGAGAGAGAGAGAGACAGAGTGCAAGTGGGGGAGGGGCAGAGAGAGAGGGAGGCACAGAATCCGAAACAGGCTCCAGGCTCCGAGCCATCAGCCCAGAGCCTGACGCGGGGCTTGAACTCACGGACCGCGAGATCGTGACCTGGCTGAAGTCGGACGCTTAACCGACTGCGCCACCCAGGCGCCCCTAAGATGCCCCAGTTTTAAAAGTTAACTTCCTCCTATTCATACCTAAAACTTACCAGAGCAGCTGAGGTGAATGATTGTTAACATCTGCAAGGCTAACATACACATGTGAGTTTCTCTGCCTCCGCTGTTTCCCCATGTCAACATTTACTGGTCTAAGGAAGATGTTTTACTGAATTCCTACCTTCAGTTCGCCACAGAAAAACTTGTAACTGGTTACTAAAGATAAGTGAAATCCGTTGTAAATAACATAGTTTGTTATTACAGGGATGGGTGTTTGTGGGGGTCCAGTCATGTCTACCAGAATGCAATGAAATAAGCATGATGCATCGTGGTTAGTTAACACGGGTGTCATTGAGACTGTCTTACTGCTTTTGTTCTATTTATCTATTCTTTGTATTGACCTTTTAAAGAAAACTTTAAAACTTCCAAGTTACTGCATTTACTTAATGAAAGAATTTCCTTACAAAAGGAAGCTCTCATAATAGCAATAATAGCTAATATTTATTATCCATTTCCTGTGAGCCTGGTACATTAAAAGTGTTCTACATGTATTAATACATTTACTCCCCCAAAGACATGAAGTAATGATATTTCCCTTATTTTGTAAATGAGGAAACTAGGGCCCAAAGATACATTGGGGCCAGAATTTGAAATTAGGATGCTTGCCCTCAGAGCCCACACTCTCCTCTGTTAGGTTTCTGTAGTGCTTGTGACAGTATGTTTGCAGTTTTTCTCTTAACTTAATAGGCTAGTTGTCCACTTAAAAAACTGTGGAAACCATCCCTGCTAGATGATGATGTTAAATATAGAAAGAAGCATTGTTTTAATCATGTTTGTCCAGTGGTAACATCTTGTGGAGATGGCTTGATTACCCTTTATTTATCACTCTAAATTCTCATGCTTTTCAAACTGTCACTACTCCAAGGTTGCAGGTTTTAAAATGGTGCCATAAAAAAATAATAATAATAAAAAAATATATAAAAAAAAATAAAATGGTGCCATATTATCTAAAAGTATTTGAAGTTGTAATGATAGCTGTAAATCCTGGCCTGAAAAGGCTCTGGAAGTATTTTTTTTTTTTTTTTTTTTAACGTTTATTTACTTTTGAGACAGAGAGAGACAGAGCATGAACGGGGGAGGGGCAGAGAGAGAGGGAGACACAGAATCTGAAGCTGGCTCCAGGCTCTGGGCCATCAGCCCAGAGCCCGACGCGGGGCTCGAACTCACAGACTGCGAGATCGTGACCTGAGCTGAAGTCGGACGGTTAACCGACTGAGCCACCCAGGTGCCCTGCTCTGGAAGTATTTTAAGTACCTGCTTCTAATTATCTGATTTGGATGAGGATGAAGTAATAATGCTTCTAACGTGGTTATCCCTTGCTCATTTTCCTCAACCCTTTCTGTAATAACTTTCTTATAAAATCTTTTAATCACCTACAGATCCAGATTTTATTAAATTTTGACTAAAGAGTGATACATCACAGTGATGATTCTTTTATTCTGTGTATTAAGTGTATCACCAGATCTTACAAAGTTTTAGTATTCCCTTTCAGAGCCTAGTGTGGTTCTTATGAATTGGGTAAACGCTGAATAAAACTTAGTTTAAGTTAGAGAATTGATGACCTAGTGATACCTTTCCCGCAACCTCCACTAATTCTTAATTCCTCAAAGAATTAGGAAGTAAGCAAAAATGGCCTTAAGTAGCAAACATCCATAGGTAGAACTTATATACTTTACTTACATAAAGCATTTCAGGGGCGCCTAGGTGATTCAGTCAGTTAAGCATCAGACTCTTGATTTTGGCTCAGGTCATGATCTCCCAGCTCATGAGATTGAACCCCGTGTCAAGCTCTGTGCTGACCGCACAGAGCCTTCTTGGACTTCTTTCTCCCTCTCTCTGTCCCTCCCCTACTTGTTCTCTCTCAAAATAATGAGCTTTAAAAAAGAAAAAAAAAAGCATTTTAGCCCCTTGTCACCTCTCAGATGCATTTTTTAAGTGGTACTTAAACCAGACAGATTGGCAAGGTCCCAGCCCCAGCCAACAGTATGTTATTGAGGTGGGACAGGGCGATAATGATGGTGGGCCGATACGAATATGTAGTAATGGCAGTGTGGCAAGAGGAAAGACAAATACTCAAATCCAAACTGCACTTAGAAATAGCTTGAGCCCACTTTAATCTTAGATTGGTCTATACACTTTATCGTTTTTTTAAAAAGGAATTATGATAATCAAATTGTAAAACATTTGGAGAGACATTCTGTCAAAAGTGATTTGCGGTATTTTGGGTATGTAAAGATGAGATTTTAGGTTATCTTGAGGCATTTGCTTTATATAAGTTGCTTTTACTTTGGGAAAGTTAATTAAATGACTTAATGTTCCCTAATTTCAAAGACCCTGTTTGAGACAAAGTATAAATTATAATTGTGTCATTTTAATCTATCCATGTGTATATACTTTGTTTTTGTTTTATCAGCTGTTGAGTTAGTGTATAAGAAAACAGGTTCTGGAGTTAGATCTATTTGAATCTCACTATTTTGTTATGTGGCTGTGAACAGAATACCTCTTGAGCCTTAGTTTCCTCATATATTCATGAAATAGTTAACTGAGCAACAACTGTGCACAGTGATATTTAGGGGTTAGGGATATTAACAGTGCACTTAAGAGTGTCAAAAAAAAACTTCTGTCCTTGTGGAACTTCCATTCTAGCTGGGAGAGACAATAAAATAATAACATTTATATTCTAAAGGTTTTTTGTTTTGTTTTTTAAGATTAAGGCAATGCATATAAAGTTTCCTATCTATACTTTGTGATAAATCAGGGCATCTTATATTTGGTGTTTGATTCTTCTCGTGACTGGTTTCATGTTGGGATACAGTGAAGTTTGTTGAGTGTATTGGTTATCTAAAAAATTGATAATTAGTAATTTTTCATTGGAGATGTTGAGTACATTAATTTTCTCTAATTTTGCTGGGTACAGAGGATTTAGAGAGATGGCATCAATATATGTTCTTTGCTTTCCTTTCTAACAGCCACCAAAAAAGACCTCTAAAAGAGAAAAACCTAAACAGAAAGCCACTTCCAAAAGTAAGAAAACTGTAAAAAGCGCTAATGTTAAGAAGGCAGATAGCAGCACCACCAAGAAGAATCAAAACAGTTCCAAAAAAGGTAGGTTAGAAATGACACCTTTTCAACAGCTCTAAAGATCTAATTCATATGATATAAGCGTTTTGAAGTGTGTTTGGAAATTAAACTGCAAAGAAAATTTGGAGAAAGTGGTATACCAGTTTTTTATGGTTACAGTTTTTCAGAATTGACAAATTTCAATGCATGTTTTATAAGTAATTTATTGAGTAGTGATTTATAATTTTATGTAATACTCCTTTGAAAATCTAATGAATGCTTGTCTTACTTTCAGAAAGTGAATCTGAGGACAGTTCAGATGATGAACCTTTAATTAAAAAATTGAAGAAACCTCCTACAGATGAAGAGTTAAAGGAAACAGTGAAGAAATTACTGGCCAGTGCCAACTTGGAAGAAGTCACAATGAAGCAGATTTGCAAGGAGGTAATTGGACAAATACTTGGATCATTTTGCTTTTATTTGAAAAATTCTTTCACTCTTCCCTCAGTTCAGTGCGAGATTTGTATGTGCATTCATTAGCGAACAAATGTCTGTGGAACTGTTCTGTGCCCGGCATTCCTGCGGGTGCTGGGATACTGCTTTAAATGAGTCAGTCTCTGCCCTGTTGGACCTGCTTCGTAAACAACAGTGGGATGTATCCAGTGAATACAGTGAAGGCGATAGATTCCAGACTTGAGGGAGAACACTGTCTTCCTGATTGGGACACTTTTTATTGATGGATCCTTAGATTGCGTTAGTTGTAAAAAGCAGAATCTCATGGACCACCGTATTTTCAGCATTACTGTTGTACTAAGATGCTGTTATCAGGTACTTAGTTCAGACTTCTGTGAAGTTTTCCTGATACTCAGAAAATAAAATGACCTAGTCTTGAAGAGGATTCCTTAGAGATTCTATACCCGAAATCAAAATTGGGAGATTTTACAATCTGGTTTCTGATGGTAAAACCAAATTAAAATTTCAAATGTACCTAAGGTGACATGCTCTGTACTTTTGTTAAGACCTTGATTATTGTTTTGTTTATTCATTCAGCATTCACTGAGCCTCTCCTGTGTACCGGACACCGGGATAGATTTGGGGGTAGAGCTGGGGATCTGTTAACTTGGCTGTTGGGGGCTTACTGATCAGTGAGATGGGAGGAGATGGCTATTGTAGTGAGTTGGGGACAGTCGGTGGGGGTTGGGCTGGAAGTGCGGAGGGCGCCGCACCACCAGGGAAGGAGCCTGGGAGGAGGGAAGACGTCCTGGAGCCTCAGCTGCTCCATACAGGGGAGCGGTACTGACACATGCCTGTCAGATGGGACAGTGACTGCGAGGAATAGTAATTTCATTTGGGTGAAGACTAGAGTTGGAAGGAAGTCTTCATAGATGTTAGGTAAGAAAAGGAGAACTTTTGCAGATCTTGTATATGCCTTGTTGCAGAGTTTAGTTTTTTCCCTGAAACTGATGGGAGAATTGGGAAGCTGGGTAGGATATTGGGAGCTGATTGATAGGGGCATACGCAGTCCAATTTTCAAGAGCCCTCATGGACACACTGAGAAGACGGGATGAAGAATGGGATGCGAGGCAAGAAAGCCAAGTTTGTCATAATCTAAGTTACAGGGTGGCCGTAATCCAAGGCGAGCTGGGAGAGCTTGGTCAGAGGTTGCTCAGCGTGGGTGTTCGGGCGCGGCAGCATTAACCTTCTGATGGAAAACAACAGAGGGTACCCTCTGAGGAAAAGAGGAGTTTCGTTCTAGACATTGTGAGATGAGGTGCTTAGAACATCCCAGTGGGAGAAACTGTGATCATTGTAATTCTCCCAAGTTTGGAGAGAGAGCCAAACTGGGCTACTGCTGGGAGTTAAAACCAAAAGTCTAGATAAGGTGGCCCAGGGAAGAAGAAAAAGGGTGAGAAAAGCAAAGGACAGAGAGTCCTGGAGACTCTGAGTTGAGAAGTAATTTCTACAAAATATAAAAAATCGTAGAGAGAAAGGTGCTGTCAAAGCCAAGAGACGAGACAGTTTCCAGAATGGTCGGGAGGGGGTAGTGCCGGTTAAGAAAAGGTCATGACCTTACCTGAGACAATGGGCAATGGTTATGGAAAGCAGGTCACAGGGGGAATAACATAAAATGCCCTGTAAACATGAAGACACGCTTTCCCTACTAATGAGGAAGATAGAAATTGAAAGGAAATATTTGTGCTTCTTAGCTTGACAGAATCTTTATAAAGATTAAGCGAGTCTTCGTGCTTGGCAAAGGTATAGGGAGACATACTCATGCATGAAGTTGTAACAGCTTTGGAGAACAATTTAGTAGCAGCTTAAAATTTAAATTGCAAATGCCCTTTAACCTAGCAAATTCCATTTCTAGGTCTCTATGCTAAAGACATAGTCACATCTGCACAAAATGATTACAATAATGTTCAGCATGTCTGTAATATTGAAAAATCAGAAACAACCTAAATGGCCATCGATAGGGAAATGTTTAACATGGTACGTCTGTATTTTTGGAATGCTATGTAGCAGTTCAAAAGAACACGGAAAAACGTTCCAGGTATTGTCAACTTTTTGAAAAATCTAGATGATTATCCTAAGTAAATACGGGAAAACCATATTGCCATTGATGTATCTATGAGTTTGTGTAGAAACTCATTTTTAAAGGTCTGGAAGAATGCACAGCAAACTGATAACTGGTTTCCTCTGAGGGGAGAGACGAGGGAAGAGTAAAGGGAGATGAGTCCTATGCGTTTGATTTTCGTGAATACACTTACATAATTTTTTAAGGGGATTATTTAACAGGGAGAGGTCCAGTGAGAAAGACTTGCGTGGTTTTTTGGACTCCGCAATTAGAAGATGATTGTTCACGTAATAAGAGCAGTTCCACGGATGATAAATGCAGGGATTAATTACCCTTGGATCAAGAATTAATAGTGAGGAAAGTGAATAAAGCTGTTTTAAACATCTTGCTATAGAAGGGAAATCGCAGTTAAATGGGGGGTGAGGATACAAGTTGATAAAATAAGGTCAGGGAGAGAAAGCACATGCTTATGTTAGGCTGAGGGACTAGTGCTGGGGAAGGAGGAGAAGCTGATGTACAGGAGAGTTCCAGAAAGGGCCCCTGCAGAGGTAACGGAAATGGGAATATTGATGGATCCACATTCAGTAAACTGGAGGGGAAGATAGGTCAACATTGAAGGAATTCTTGGCCAAGAGCAAGAGGGAGGAAGGGATGAAAATGCCATTGATAGCACAGGAGGACCTGCTGAGAGAGAGTCGGGTTAACCCCGGGAAGGCTCGGACATTGGATACCATGAACTTGGCATGGGACCGGTCTTTTAAAAGTTCTGTGTTCCCACAGCAGTCTTTCCTCTGGATCAATCATAGAAAAAGTGGTGTTAGACCAGTTGAGGGACAGAGTTTTGCAGGGAAGTAACAAGGGGTGAATGACAGGAGTGATGTAAATGATCGACTCTGTTTGCAGGACTTGGCAGACTGCAGCCTGTGGGCCAAATCCCTCTTACCATCTGGTTTTGTAAATAGTTTAATGTGACAACAGCCACATCCATTCATTCAAGTGTTGTCTGTGGCAGCTTTCATGCTACAGTGGCACAGTTGAGTAGTTGTGACAAACTGTGTTCCTGGAAAAGCTGAAACCACTTACTGTCTGGCCCTTAACTGAAAAAGTTTGCTTACCTTAACTAGTCCTTAGGAGCGAAGCAGGCAGGCTTGTGTGGAGTCAGGCTGGGGAGTGATTGTGAAGTCAAGCAGGTGGCAAGTTGACCAAAGAGAGGGGCCATTTAGAGAGTAAAGCTGTAGGGGTAGAGGACCCCTGAGACCACCTGGATCTCAGTGATTTAACTTAGGGGACGGGGTGGAGCAGTGCAGCGGAGGCTGAAGTTCATTCGAGTTCAGGTCGAGGAACTGTCAGTGTTGGATGACGGAAGGAAGAACGTAAGGATACCTCCACGGAACATCTGGCCGACAGCCTGCCGGTATAATGAATTCAGTCCACTTACCTACCATCTCTGTGTAGGTGTTTTCCTCGCCTGTGTGTGTTAATTCAGCTGATACTCCCAGTAGTAAAGATGACACTGAGAATGGCTGCGTCCTAGTTTAGTTTCTGCTCGTTTGCAGTAGTTGTATATGGTGAACCAGAATTCTTAGAACAGACGTGCCGCTATTTGTACACGGCCTACATTTCTTCTGTATCCAAAGGTAAACTGTGTTACTACTGTATTTTTAAATCTACTTTTAATTTTCACTATAGGTATATGAAAATTATCCTGCTTATGATTTAACTGAAAGAAAAGATTTCATAAAAACAACTGTTAAAGAGGTAAATACATCCACCTTTTCTGATTTTGGTCATTTTGAATGTATAAGACAAATTATATATCAAATACTGTATGTTTTTCAAAATGTTCATGTCACTATATCACATTTGACCCTCAGATTTTCTCAAAATAGATGGGCAAAATATTTTTCATTCTCATTATAGAGTTTAAAAAAATAAAGTCTGAATATTAGTGACAAAACTTGACCTCCAGCTCACAACATACATGGGCAGCCAGGCTCAACACAGGTGCTCACACAACTACTGGAGCGTAATTCCTTTCCACCGAAGTCAGAAGATCAGCAGTAGCTATATTTTTGTATCGGTCCCAACAGATTTCCCAAGGTTATAGTAGTAAAACAGAAGTTTTAAAGGGAAGGTGGGGTATGATTTTTGTGTTCTTAATACTGTATTTTGGGTAGAGGAAAATGACGCTTCTCTCTCGTTGCAGCTGATTTCTTGAGGCAGAGGAGATAACTTGTCCCGTGGACGTCAGGATCTGATTTATACCGTTATACCAGCAAAGAGAATGTATTTCCTTTTCTACCCCTTGCAAGCGTTGTGTTAGTAGAACCTGTCGCTGATCTTTTTAAGTAAATTTGAGTTTGTTGTTTTAAATTGCATTTCTATGCAGTTTTTAGTTTAAAATTTTGCATGGCAGTAATTGTTCCTTGCTTTTATAGCTGTATTTTGTACATTTTGGATTTCTTTATATGAGATCGTAGTTTTAGCGTGCTTAGTATTCGCTTGTTTCAGACATACTTTTAACGAAGTAGAAGAAACTATTATTGACATTTATACATGCAGAGACTATGGCAGTATTTAGTAGATGAAATATTTTGAATACACATCTGACAGTGGCAGTGTGTTCATCATATTAAAAATATACAGGCTTCAGCTATCCAGATGATTAAATTGGAAAATTTCTGCTGCATGTGTATATATGTCAAATCGTCAGCATGACAAAAGTGACAGATGTTATTTTTGTATTTTTAAAAACAACTTTGTTGTATATAAAGTTTTTTTATTTCTTTTGTGCAGATCAATTTTTAAACTCCTATAGGTAGGTATCTTTACAGTTATAAACTATGAAATGTCAGTGTTCGGCCAGATGGTATGTGACGGAGCAGCGAAATCAGAATTCAGTGGAGAAAACACTGAAGGAACAGGTTGTTCTCTGCTTTGCCTCAGAAGTGTCAATTTGTAGTTTTAGTGTTAACTCTGCAAGTGTCTGTAGATAACATTTTATGTTAAGGGTAGACCAAATCAACACATCAGAACTTCAAAATTGGGGGAAGGGGATTAAGTACAAGCACATTTGGCTTCTAATGAACTGATTTTTATTAACTGCTTTTACCCATGTAAAATGCGGATATTTACAGGAAACCTGGCCTTTATAATTATGGTAAATGTACCAAGTATAATGCTAGAAGATAACGTGTAGGCAACAGTGGGTATCTCCGACAAAGTATTTCTCAAAAGTGATAAAAAGACTTATTTTTAACATTAAAGAAGTTTAATGTATTCGTGGAATCAGGACTTTTAGGTTTTAAATTTTGGCCAATCAGGATTCTGGGTGATCAACACAGCCCACTCCTGAATTAGATTGTTTCATCTTTTACATTGTCGTAATCAGTTTATTAAATAATTTCTGAATTTTAAAAACATAACTGCTTATGAGAGAATTAGGCCTTTGATAAACCAGTTGAGTGTTTAAACGGAGAACATGAAATACATAAAAATGATAAATGTTGGCCGTTAGCAGGTACTTTCACAGGTCTGACGTGTTTCTTGATAAATACAAATGAATAAACAACTGAGACCTAAAAATTGGCCGTTGATTTTAAATATTTAATTTGTTCCTATAAACCTTGTCAATAAAACTAATAAATCCATGCTCTTGTCTCTTGTATTAATGTCTTCCGTTTCTGTAGCATTTCCCCCCTAGCTGAGGATTTCAGAACAGGGATTTTTGTTGATTTTGAGAGAGAAAAAGCACACAGTGGTGGGGCAGGAAGAGAGAGAATCCCAGGCAGGTTCTGCACTGTCAGCGCAGAGCCTGACGCGGGGCTCAAACTCACGAACCCATGAGATAGATCATGACCTGAGCGAAACCAAGAGTCAGACTCTTAAGCGACTGAGCCACCCAGGTGCCCCTGGATGGGGATTTTAATGGATTTAGCCCCAAGACCCATTTAATTTGGAGTCGTTCAGTGATTGCTGAACACAAACTCTGAAGAAATCCTGAAGGAAAACTTGAAAGTGACCTCACAAAACTAAGTGATTACGGTTCACAACTGTTTATTTTATGACCATTTACTTAAAAGGGTGTAAGACCCAGGAGCTAAACAAGTCTGAAGGCGGCCTGCAGGAGAGGAGAGGAGACAGGTGGTGTGCATGAAAGGTCGTGGGGAAGGTGTACCCAGTGCTCACCACTACAGTGCACGGTATTTGAAAAACAAGTCTAGTTTTTATTAAGCAGTTTTACACAACCAGCTGTTCACAATCTGCAGTTAAAACATTGTGTAGTCACTGCTCTTCAATTACAAAATCTTCAAACTGTGAAAAACAGTCAAAAACTCAAAAGTACCGTGGTTCCTTAACAAAATGTCAAATGATGTCACTTGGGACAGGAAACTTTTTAAATACACATGTACTGCGCTTGAGCTAACTAGGGTTTTCCTTAGTTTGCTTGTGGCACAGTACAAGTTTAAGAGCCCAGAGACTAACCGTGAACCATTTCAAACTTAAAATATTTTGCATTTATCACTAAATACATGCTATTCTTTAAACAGTTTAACACATAACATTTTTAAAGCAGAATACTTCCCAGTCAGTACCAATGAGTCTCATCAGATAGTCTATCAACATTTTCCTATGTTAACCCAACTTTGAAACCAATTTACTGCTGTTTGCCTTCTTGTGTTTGTATCATACTTTGCTGAGGAGGGAGGTGTCTAAACCGTCTAACGTTTCCATAAAATTCTATTTCTACTTACAAGCTGACTTTAAATTTTAAAAATACCTAATATTCTGAAAAATGTCCTTTTGAGTCCTTTTGTCAGTGCAGACTAACATAATTGAAAGAACTGTTCAGACTTTTTAAAACAAAAGCATTTAAGTTACCATCCACTTTTCTAACTTCTTGGCAAGATAAGCATCCTGAAGTCCCTGAAACCAGAGTTTAATTGAATTCTTTTGTCAGGAGGAGAAAAAAGGAAAAAGTGAATATGTGCCATACTCTCCAGCTCTTAAGATATGGCTTTAAATGTGAAATATTTACCAGGAAATCTCACATTTTCTGCAGTTTTCCGGTGGACCTGCCTATGGAATACTGAAAACATCATGCTGCAAAAAACAGACTGGATCAGTTATTTTAAAAAGAGGCAGTAGAGGGAGTTTTATTAAAGTATTCTGACAAGATCTTTTTGCCAGCGGTTGCCAAAATTAAGGCTAAAGTGTGCCATCGGACCAAACTTGGCTCTAAGAAAAATAGCCCTATTCTAAATGGTCTCAAGTATGAAGACTACTATCTCTACCCCCATCGAAAACCACAGAATGCCTATACTGTTTGAGGAACTGAAAATTTTGCTGTTTGCCAATGAGTGCACAAATCTGAAATGTTTTATCACAAAAGAGACCCAAATTTAAATTTCTTTTGAATACCCAATGGAAAGAAATATGTACAATATAAAATAGTCTAGAAGCTTCATTTACTTTTAACTGAAGAGTTTGTGCTGTATCTGAAAGGGAAAGATTTCTATCTAAATTTTAAGTAAAAGCTCAATTTTGGAGCTATATAAAAATCTTAAGGCTCATTGGCAAAGATACTGATGAACTGTGACAGAAGAAAAACACATGGCTTTATCTGCCTTTTTAATGATTGCTGCTTGGTTTCTTGATGTTTGAAAACAATGGTTTCTCAATGCTTGAAAACTGATGAGCCAAACAAGATGTCAAAATTCAAAGGGAATCTCCAACCGTGGAAGAAATCCTGTCTTAATGTAAGGTTATATTCTGCTTTGTTCTGAAATACAGAAGACAGCCCTAGTCACACCTGTGGAAAATGCAATTAAATATAAGTGCTTACAAAAGGATCCTTGGGGCTAATGCTCTCAGGAGGAGGTTTTTTTTGTCTTGATTTTATGAAAGTGAGGTTTAACATGTGTTTCAAACTTTACCATTTGGAGCACAGAAGAAAGCTGGGTCCAGACAAATTCTATTCAGAATGCTGCAATCTTACTTGCTTCTCGAACACCACTCAAATATGCCCCTGTAACAGTTTGTGGGAAATGCCTGTTTGTTGCCTGTAAGAAAAAAATTGCATAATTTGAAATCACATAGAAGGAACTCAGGCAATCACCGAAACAATACAAGCATACACTCTCTGATCCTCCAATCAAGACTGCCGGCAGGCGCTCCTCTGTGCTCATGTTAACACTCTACCTCCCCCCACCCCCACCCTGCACCTGCTGTTCTCTGGCTGTGCCACCCTGCTTCACCACTGCCGTGAAGGACTGAGTGGCACTCCTTAGGATATTACTCACATACACACCGTGTCCCGGAATTAAGAATAACGAAGACGATACAATCCCTGCCCGCCCCCGCCGCTGCCCCCCAGACAAGTAGTCTCGCTGTCGGAATCAGTGATGAGCACAGAAAGCGAACCAATTCACCCATGGCCGGAGTTTTGCTAGAAGACTGCCACAGGACAGAGAGGAGTCTGTCAACGGGGAGGGGACAGAAAGGTGAGGACTGTCCGTGGGAGAAGACAGCTCTCCAGGAGGTTGGAGTGGGAACAGAATCCGCAAACCAGGGCAAGCAGCAGATTGATCTGTGGCTTGGGGGTTGGTGGGGACGGCGACAAGGTCTGGGATGTAGCTATGGGAAAGAGTCACTGAAGCGGGGGTGAGTCGATCTCAGAAGATGGAGGAGGATAGGAAACGCAGGAAGTTCCACGTGAACTGAAGTATGTTCCACATCACGTAGATTTACAGCTGGATGCAAGGGACAACAGCCAGTGCCAAACACTTCAGTAAATGGAGAGGAGTGGTCAGGAGGTAAGAATACAATTACTGGGGTGCCGGAGTGGTTCCAGTCGGTTAAGCGTCTGACTCTTGGTCTTGGCTCAGGTTATAATCTCATGGTTCGTGGGTTCAAGCCCCGTGCTGGGGTCTGTGCTGATGGCACAGAGCCTGCTTGGGATTCTGTCTCCCTCTCTCTGTCCCTCCCCCTGGCTCTCTCTCAAAATAAACTTAAAAAATAAATACATAACATTAGAAAAAATACAATTACTAGTAGGGGGTAAAAAATGGCAGAAACCTCAGAGAAACGGCTTTAAAATTTTTTTAGGGGCGCCTGGGTGGCTCAGTCAGTTAAGCGTCCGACTTCGACTCACACTTCATGGGTTCGAGCCCCATGTCGGGCTCTGGGCTGACAGCTCAGGGCCTAGAGCCGGCTTCAGATTCTGTGTCTCCCTCTCTCTCTGCCCCTCCCCCACTCACGTGGTCTCGGTCTCAAAAATAAACATTAAAAAAAATTTTTTTTAATAAAAAATGTTTAATGTTTTCAGTGTGAAGTAACAACTGTATCACATGAGCCTAATGCAGCTTCTCTTGGAAGCAGCGGACAGTTGCTGCCTGGCGTGCAGTCACACTCTGTTCCCACAAAGCTTTGCAGGCCAAGGACAAACCACACAGCCAGTTTTTAAATGACGTTCTTTTGTAATCATCCAAAAATCAGAGCGAGAAAAGATAACTCTATTTTAGATGGCACTAGAAGACCTGGGCGGTCCCAAACTATAATCCACAAAGGATGAAAGCAGATGAAAGAGCTCTGAGGATTCTCTTCACTGGGTGAAGTTTGGGGAGGGTGGCGGGGAGGTGATCCAAAGCAAGCCGATTCACCCCAAAGAACCTTTTAACCATCTCGGCCACTGGAGGCATCGGGAAGGACGGAGGCGGAGGCAGAGGCGGGGCACCGGTGAAAACAGGCCTGGAAGAGCAAGCAATCTGGTTCCTCACCAGCTTCCCCACCCCCATGGCCACAACCCCCTGGAGACCAGAGGCAGAGGTGGGGGTGAGGCACCAAAGAACACGGGGATTAAGTCAGGTCTTCATAACTAAGAGCAAGGCTGCCGGCACCCAGAATGTTCCCAAAGAGCTGTAGATAGACTGTTTGGGGATCCAACCACCCCTTGGCAAGCTCGTGGGCGTTCTCAACAGGCTTTTGTAAAAATGCCTCCCTCCAGTCTGAGCAGTCAGCGATGGGATATCTGGATGTGTGGGAAGCGGAGGCTGACGGAAACAAAGTAGAACTCTGAGGAGTCACTAAGCAAGAAGAGGATGCTACCAAAAGAAGAACCTGAGGGCAAGAAAGTGCTCATAAAAGAGCCAAAATTCCCAAAGTCAATTCAAGGAGAGAAACAGAAACAGGGTAAGACACACGAGTAACAGCAAAGAAAAGAAAATCAGTTTAGAAGTTCCAATTTATATAATGGAAGATGTAGAAATAAGAGAAATAAAAAATGTGAGGAGAAAATGGTCAGAAGTAAGAAATCAAGGACAGAAGGATAGGAGCTTCCAGATTACAAGCCAGCGAAAAACAGGCACCGAAAAAAATCAGTAATCAAAACAGCAAAACATTTCTCAACAGAAGTAAACCAAGAAAGGAGCCAGGCTACTTCCTACCCATTAGGATGGCTACTACCAAAAGCCAGAAAACAGCACACTGCTGGTGAGGATGTGCAGAAACTGGAACCTTTGTGGGGCGCCTGGGTGGCTCAGTCGGTTGAACATCTGACTCTTGCTTTCGGCTCAGGTCATGATCTCACAGGTTCACGAGTTCAAGCCCCAGGTCAGGCTCTTTGTTGAGAATGCAGAGCCTGCTTGGGATTT